CGGGACATGGTGCTTCTTACTTGCTATGTACGTATTTATTTATTGGTACTGGGGATTGAACTTGGTACCTTGCCCTAAAAGGCAGGCACGGTGCCACTAAACTAAATCCCCGGCTCTTTCCTTGCTATTTATTATTGTGCTCCCTGGGACACCAGAGTACTCACAGGACATGCAGACTGCCCCAGTGCTTGTGCCCCATTGCTGGCCTCCTTTCTGCTGCACTAATGCCACCTCTGGAGATTGAGGGCTGCAGTAGTCTCTGTGTGGGGAACTGGGAGATCTCATCCCAGTGATGTAACAAGAGGTGGAACTGAGCCTGGCATGGTGGCACCCACCTGTAATTTCAACACTCTGGAGGCTGAGGCAAGAAGCTTACAAGGTAGAGCCCAGCCTGGGCAATTTCACAATTTCAAAGAGCCTAAGAACAATACAAAACAAAAGAAAGGAAGAGGGCTGGGGCTATAGCTCAATGGAAGAATCCTGAATTCAATATTAAGGGGAAAAAAGGTAGGGTTGCAAGTGGCCTCCATCCAGGTCCCCACGCACAAGACTGCCCACCCTCTTAGAGAGCACAAGTTCCAAGGTAGCAGTGTGGGTCTTTTCTGGGTGACTGCATGGCTCCCAAACCCTCTGTGTGCATCACACACTGATGAATGCCTTGGAGGACAGCAAGGAGACAAGGAGGGAAGGCATTGTGAATCCCAACCAGGGGCAGACTTTGTACCATGGTCCAGCGGGAAAGAAAAATTTTTACAAAGAAATTGCAGAGTGTGAAAAATGGGCAATGGTAGAGAAGTGGGTGCCCAGAGAGGTAAGGGAACTTTGGAAACAGAGAATTAGGAGTCCAGCAGGGCACAAACTCTTAAAGCTGAGCCTCTGCTTGCAGACCTCTCCATGCAGATGCAGCTGAATATGGTGAGGGAAATGACTATCAGGGTGTTATTGATTTATTTTTAAAGAAAAATGGGTAAATAGGTATTATTTTTTCTGATTGCAAAAGTAATGCTCATTTTGAAAATCAGACATCAAGAGACATACATAGGAAAGCAAATATCCATACTCCTGCTTTCCAGCGATAGCCACTGTAACATTTTTGACTCTTGCCAACGTTCACTCTGTGCATATACATGTTTATTACAAAATGCCAGACCTCCTTCTGCTTGTTAATCTTTATTTCCACTTAGCATTCCATTATATTTTATAGGACTAATTGCAGCAGCGCATTACTATTTTTAATAGAAGCCCAGCTCCTGTTTTATAGGTTCACTAAAAATGCTTTTTGAAGGACATTGAAATTATCACTGTTTTATTATTATACACAAGGGTGATAAAACTTTTTCCCACTCCTTCCCTTACTCCTTTCTCTACTCTTTTCCCTTCTTCTTTTCCTTCCTCTCCTTACATTAAAAGAATGGAAAAGTCAAAGAATCCGCATTTTAAAATATTTTTGGCTCTCATTTTCCCTATAGCACCATGAGGGGAGGGGGTTGTATAAAGACAGATGAAAATGACCGAACACTTACTCTCTGTTAAGACCTCAGCATGCATTAACTTACTCATCCTGGTAGTGATTCAGTGAATAAGGCCCTGATTTATTTAATTTATTTTTTATCTTAATAGCACACATTTATTGGGCACCATGTCATAATTTGATGTATACAGTGTAGTGTGTGATGATCAAATTAAAGTAGTTACCATTTCCTTCTCATCAAGCATTCTTTTTCAATCCACACATACTGATTGTACTCTTGGTGCTGCACAGTGCAGTATTTTAATACAAACATGTACAATATGTACTGATCAAATCAGGGTGAAATTAAATCACAGACTAATAGGTACAGCTAACATTTGAATAACAGTCTCTCTGGCTCTCAGGAGGGATTTCTGGGCCCTCTGAGAAGCATATCTGAATCCATCCAGGAAAGGGACCTCTCAAGGGCCCACTTTTAAAGGTTTTTCTCTGGCTTCTGCTGGACCTTGGCCATCAGGAATGAGAGGCCTGCTCCCTCCCTGGGCCACGCCTCTGCCAACCCCTGCTCTATCCTCTTGTCGCAGACCCTTTGACCACAAGGGGGCAGTGCCACATCTTGTTCCTCTCCTCTTGCCCTCCATGACATTTGGTTTCTAGAACTTTCTCAGTGGGGAATGTTAGTTGCAGGCAACAGAAAACTCAACTCAAACTGGTTTTAATAATAAAGAGTATTTACTGATGAGTGTCATTTTAAAGTACAGAGAGAACTGGCTGGCCCCTGGGCACGGTTTGGTCGGGACCTGGCTCCCCCTCTCATTCTCCTGGCTCTGCCCTCCTGTGTGTGTGTTAGTGTTGGTCTTTGTGTCGGTGTTGCCATCTGTGGTAGCAAAATGGCTGCCAGGTGCCACAAAACAATAAATTCACTTTCTCACAGGTATTGAACAAATATCCCAACCTTTGCTCTGATCGGCTTGCCTCAGGTCACATCTGCACCCTGTGAAGCTGTCACTGTGGTGGGGATGTCACAGGGAGAGGGAACAAACCCCTTTCCACCTCCCTCTCCACTTCACTCTTCAGAGCCAAATGGACTCTTCAGGAGGAATGTGAGGAGACACATCAAAGCCGACACAGGGACAAAAGAGGTGCACATATTGTGCTGCTCACACTGGCTTGGTGGAAGCCACCATGGGGGAGACAGAAGAACGAGAACAGTATCACCCATAAGTGGCCCCCACATTTTGCCAGATGACTGCACCGGGGGCTGCACCTGTCACAGTCAGCACGGAGTGTTCTCTTAGCACGAGGAAATGCTTTCCCAGGAGGAGCATAAGAGCTCGAGTAAGAGGAGCAGTTGTAAGTGGGAATGAAGTGCAGAAGATGTGTTGGGGTGGGCTGACATGTTGGAACCTTTCCAAATAGGAACAATTTTATTCTGACTTATTTCTATATGCCTTCTCCCTTCTCCAGTGGAATGCTCTTTCCTATCACAAAGGGAAAGATTCTTTTCACCCTCTGTCTTTCAGATCCACCCTCCTGTGGAGACCAGAGTCATCTCTGCTGTCACCACCGTGCTCATCCAGATGGGCTGCTTTCCCTTTACTCCTCTGCTCTAGGGTAGACCAGACCAGAACTTTCCTGAATCTCTGTGGTTCATTGAAGAAGAAGGGGGATCATGAGCGGATTTGACTGAGGGCTTAGGAAAAGCAGAAGGGGACTAACTATACACAAGGAAGAATTTAAAACTGGATTTGGACAGTCCTGCCCTTGACCCTAGACTTTCTCAATGGGTAGCTTGCTGGTGGCTCACTGTCTGGCGACTGCTGCCCCCTTGTGGCCAAAATGTTTTCCCAGTTGCCTCTGCTTGCCTTTTAATAGGGTATATGTATGTATTTTTTGGTCTAGGCCCTACTGTTTCTTTTCTCCTGTGTCCCCAGTCACTGTTTTCTGGCCGGGGAGCTTCCTTTCCCTGGATGACTAATGGAGGATTGTCCCTTCCCTTCTGGGACTACCCCATTTTCCAGTTCTTTCTAGTTGAGGCCGTAACTAGAAAGCTATAGTCTAGCATCAGTGAAAGTACTAGAGGGCGAGTAACACTAGAGCAATTGTCTCCTTACACTTCCTGCCTCTACATATGTAAAAAAAGAACCCAGAGGAGAGCATGACCCAATCTAGATACTGTTCCTGAGAGTAGTGACAATTGTAGGCACCAGCAGCAAACACATTTGGCATTTGTGGCAGGGCAGGATTTATACTCCTGTGATTGGCGTCGTCTTCAAACAGCCAAGGAGGTTGGGTAGGAGCAATGCCAGGAAACCAGCCTGGCTGTACAAGTGAAGCTTTCAGAGATACACTAGATACGGGTGTGTGGCTGAAAGTGACGGACACGCTGGACAGCGCTGGTGATCCAAGCCTGTGAGCTATGTCTAACATCATTCCTTCCCCAGCCATGGGCTGAGGATTAACTGTGCTCCCTGGCAGGTGACACAGAGATGAGTCAAAGAGGGGCCCTTGTGAGCTGTGTAGCGGCTCATAGTGCAGATGAGAAGCCTGACTCATGAACACATCCCTGCAGCACACAGGGTCCGTGTTAGAGTGGAGGCGTGAGTTAAGTGCTGGAGGAATGAAGCCAGGGCACAGTGGTTAGCTGCTGGCCATCTCAGGTTGGTTCCAGAAGAGCCTCCACTTCAGAAGGGAGTGGCAGTAACAGTCTCCAGCTCTTGTACCGTTGACTGCCCCAGCCCTAGTGGCCTCTCCACAATCTAGCTGCACTCTAGGACTGGCTCATGCCCCCAGCTCCAGAGCCATTTGAGAGGATCAATCATTGGCAGTAGTTGTGCAAAAGAGGGGAGTTCATTTCTCCTCTAAATCTTCACTAGGTCAAAGAAGCCTAAAATTCAAGTAAAAATTGTGTGCTTGCTTTCCAAACAAAGTCCTCTGCCTCCTCACCAACTCCCCGCCACAAGTCTCTCCTGCCATGGACTCCTTCTGAAGCATTTGCTGTTAAAGGTCAAATCCTTTCCACATTTATTACTTTTTACTTCTTGTTGGTTTTGGAAATTGAACTCAAGGCCCTACCACTGAGTACATTCTCAGCCTTTAAGATTTTTTAAATTTTGAGATAGGTCCTAGCTAAGTTGCCCAGGCTGGCCTCAAAACTCATGCTCCTCTTGCCCAGCCCCTGAAGTATCTGGGACTCCAGGCATGTGGCACCACACTCAGTTTACCTTTACTTTTGTCAGGAACACAGGAAGTTTTCAAAGGCCATCTAGGGAATTTAGGGATAAATGATAAAAGTGGTCATCACAGAGTGGAGAATTCAGATACTGGACCTTTAACCTCAACTTCATACCTGCTCATCCCACTTGGACATACAGACCTCTGGGGTCTCTGATGGGCTGGGATCCTTCCATAAATCTGTTCCCTAAATGCAGACATGGGTGGGGCTCAGGAGGGAGGTGTGGTCTTGTGTGGTTGGTTTCTCAATTTCCCTTTATTCATCTAGTTCCCTCTGGTAAGTCACTCTGGTCTCTGCTATCTTCTACGTTGGACACACCTGGCTGGTGCCTCAGGTAGGAAGCCTCCTGTTAAGACAGGGTAGAGGGGCTTAGTTTAACTTTCTTTTAGGAAACACTCATTTTATGGGACCTGAGGGTAGCTGCTTAAATTGACTTCTTGCCTCCTCCCTTGGACCATGTATTCAACTCTGACCTCATACATAGATGTGACTGATGTTACGGAGGCCACAGGCTCTTCATCCTTTCTTTTGTGGGACAGAAGTTGACAGTTTTCCAATTTGATGTTTATTGCTTTACCCTAAGATTTTTGTCTTCTATGAAAATGCAAATACGGACAAGGAGAGAATTTACTAGAATGTGTGCATCTGAATGAACTTATCAGATGCTAGACCTGGAAGCAAATAAGGAGTTATCTTCTTTGCCTCCCATAAGTGTGCAGAGAGAAAATGGCATCCATAGGGGGAAAAGGCCCTACTCAAGGTTACCCAGGAGAGAGTGGGTGCTGGGGTCCAGATCTCCCCCTGGGTAACTCCAAAGGCTTTCAGACCATTCTCCAGAGAGTCCTGGGGGCTTAGGGATGCTCTGTAGGTGCTGTCCAGGTGGAGAGAGTCCTCCTTCCCTGGCAACTCAGTTTTGATCTGTTCACACATTGGGCTTCTGAGCTTTTAACAGTGTTTCACAATAAAAAAGTAACTATTTGAAAACTGCTCAGTCTGTGGGTATTTAGGAGGAGATTTGAGGGGCCAACATGAAGATATTTTCCTCTAAAATGCTTAAACTTTGTTTAGACAGAGGACCAAAGTGTTTATTGCTTATTTAAGACAGGCTTAAAATATAGACAGCCCCATCTTTTGATGGTTTGACTTATTAGTTTTGTCTTTGTAAACAGCCATTCTGTTTATCGCTTTAGGTACAATATTCAATAAATTACATTAGATATTCAACACTTTATTATAAAATAAACTTTTTCTCCCCAACTGTATATTAATATACTATTCCAAGAATGTTTAAGGTATGTTAAGCTAAGTTGTGATGTAGGCTAGGTGTGCTTAATGCATTTTGACGTAGGATATTTTTAATTTAGGAAGGATTTATCTAGAAGTAACCTCACTGTAAGTCGAAGAGCAGCCTTATAGTTTAGTGCAGTTTATTTTTATTAGTTTTTCTCTTAGTAGATTTTAAGATGGGTAAACAAGATTTAGGGAAAACATAGAAAGAGAAATAAGGTAGACAGGGACACCTAAACAGGCTTGCCTCCTTCTACTTTGCTGAGAGCTGGTTTCCCTTGAATGCATAAGACCGATCAGGTTGGTTTCCCCTATCTTAATACACAGACGTGGCTGAGCACAGAGGGGTAAAGAGGGAAGAGCTAGAGCTGGAGGTGGAGCCGAGATGGTTGTAGGGCCAACTAAAGGCCAGAGTGTCTTCCCTGAATCCTGTCTTATCCCATACTTAGGCTGGGCCTCGAAACTGTGGAAGGTTGATGGCTGTGGGCAGCCAACTTCCAAAGAAGCTCAAGTTGGAGGTGAAGAGGGTAAAAGGTGTCCCATCCCATCCTTGATGAGAATGACTTCAATCTGAGTTACTAAATCACATTTTTTCCCCTTCTAATCTTTCTACTAGATCAAACCATGGCTTATTTAAATAACTTCTTCTGGAATATTTCTGATGAGCTATGGTTCGATGAGGCGTTTGAAAATTTCACTGGCATGCCACCCATCGGAGAAGATTATAGCCCCTGTAGGATAGACAGTGAGACACTCAACAGCTCCGCTGTGGTTGTCGTCTATGTTGTGGTGTTCCTGCTGAGCCTGTTGGGAAACTCTCTGGTGATGCTGGTGCTCCTATGCAGCCAGGTCACCCGCTCTGTCACCGATGTCTACCTGCTCAACTTGGCCATAGCTGACCTGCTCTTTTCCCTGACCTTGCCTGTCTGGGCTATCACCAGGGAGAAGGGCTGGATTTTTGGCACACCCTTTTGCAAGATGGTCTCACTCCTGAAGGAAGTCAACTTCTACAGTGGCATTTTACTACTGGCTGGCATCAGCATGGACCGCTACCTGGCCATTGTCCACGCCACACACACGCTGACCCGAAAGCGCCACTTGGTCAAGTTCATATGTATGGGCATCTGGGTAGTATCTCTGATTCTGTCTTTGCCCATTTGCCTCTTCCGCAAGGCCTTTACTCTGAACGATTCCAGGCTTGTCTGCTATGAGTTCCTGGGTAAGGAGACAACCCAAGTGCGCCTGTGGCTGCGGCTCCCATCCCAGGTCTTAGGCTTCATCCTGCCACTGCTGGGCATGCTGTTCTGCTATGGCTTCACGTTGTGTACACTGTTTAAGGCCCAAATGGGGCAGAAGCATCGGGCCATGAAGGTCATCTTCGCTGTTGTGCTCGTCTTCCTGCTCTGCTGGCTGCCCTACAACCTGGTCCTGCTGGTGGACACCCTCATGAGGACAGGTGGGATCGAGGAGACCTGCGAGCGCCGCAATGAAATTGACCGGGCCCTGGAGGCCACCGAGATCCTGGGCTTCCTCCATAGCTGCCTCAACCCCCTCATCTATGTCTTCATTGGCCAAAAGTTTCGCCATAGGCTCCTCAAGATCCTCGCAGCCCATGGCCTGATCAGCAAGGAGTTCTTGGCCCGTCATCGTGTTTCCTCTTACAGTTCCTCTAGCACTGTCCCTTCGAACCTCTGAAAGCCATTGATGAAAGAGTCTCTCACTCTCAAAGGAAAGAATACCACCACCCCAAGGCTGCTTGGGTGGGGAAGTCTGGCTCAAACCTCTGGGTTTGAGGGGAAACTACAGAGTGTGGGGGACATGAAGGACCAGTGCCTCAGAGACCACACCGACCTTCTGAGGAAGTGCCAGAGACCTTCAAGGACTGGGCTCACACTGCCACGAAAAGGATCAGCCTCATTTTGGTTGAACTTGTACATCTTTGATCCATTACTTAGGTCCTTAGCATGGTCACATCTGTAGCCTGAATCTGACAGTAGAGCAAAGAACTGGGACAAAGCTGTGTTCCTAAATGAGCTAGACCCTCTTGTAAGACCTCTCTAGAACATCACCCCAAATGCTGAGCGTGTCAGGCTGTTGGTAGCTCTGCATTTTCTGGGTCATCTGATCTTGTGGAACTCTTTCCCAATCTCTTGTGCGTGGTAGTATGTGCTGAGGACATCAAGGAAGGTGCTGCTGAAACATCAAACCACCAGGTGGCCTTGTGGTAGAGCCAGAAAGAATTTCCCCTTGGGTGCTGTGGGTGAACAAAGAATGTTTGGGAAGCAAAATCCTCTTCATTTTACGATCATAGTCAGGGTGGTGAAGGTGTTGGATACGTGCAGAGCCATGGATGGAGCGAGACTTGCCCTCTTGACGCTTCCAGCCTCATAAGGAGCGCTGGCAACCTCACAGACCCACACGTCCTTGTCAGTCAGCTGGCCAGCCCCATTATTTCCAATAAAATTTCTGTTTCACATTAGTCCCTGTGCAAGTGTGCTGCATGTGACAGAGTGAAAAGTGTGTGGCATTGCTGGTTGTGCCTGCAACAGAATGGGGGCAGCAAAAAACATTTCTCTAGGTTGATGGGGTACATCCTCTGGCAGAAGGGTCTTTAGAGGTAGAGAAACTTGCATTTGTTCCTGTACCCTGAGCTGGGGAGGATTGTTTGTCCATGTATAAAAGGAAATGTTCCTCCCAGGAGTCTCAGTTTCACTTAAGCATTGTCTCCTGGGAGGACTTTGCCCAGCTTTGCACTGTATTAACTCTGCCCCCCTCATGCTTACTAGGAATTATAGTTGTTTCTGTTTTCCCTCCCTGAAGGCAAAAGTCTTCTGTTTTGTTCATTCTACATCCCTGGTGTCCAACACACTGCCAGATCCCATTAAATGCTCAGTCAATATTTATTGAATGAAAGAACAGTGCTAAAAAGGCCTGAGGTCATTTGCATACCATCTGCTCTGAGAACCTCTTATCTGTTCTCTCCCTGACACCCTCCTGCTGTCCTGGGCAACTCATTTCCTTCATCAAGGTTCCGTTTGTGGTTTATCATCATTCTAGTTTTTATCTGTGTAGAAGCGTTGCAGACAGTACTGAAGACATCGGGGTTCTTTTGATTGCTAATGGTACAAACCAGTCACCAATGAGCTGGAGTAAATCTGGGAGGGTGTGGATGGGCACTGTTGGGGATGACCTGAGGTTGAGGCTCCCAGGTGGGACTGGGGTCAAAGATGAAACTGGGATCAGAGATTGAGGTTGGAGTCAAGATGCGGCGGATGCAGGGATGGGGTGGCAGCGTGGGTCAGACGAGAAGTCGGAGGATGAATGTCAGGAATAGGAAGAAAGCTGGAGGTCAGGATGGGCTGAGTAAGAGTCAAAGACTTGGTAAGGGTTTAGAGACAGAGAGTCCACCTATGGCTGGGACCAGGTTGGAGGGAGGCTTAAAGGTGGGGTAAATGTGGAGGTGGGGGGAGTCCCAGTGAGAGGTCAGACATGGAATAGATGTCAGAGGTGAGTGAGTGGCTATAAAGCTGAAGCAAAAAGCCCTCTCCAGGCGTGGTGGTGCTCACCTGTAATCCCAGCACTTGGGAGGCTGAGGCAGGAGGATCGCTCTGAGTTCGAGACCAGGCTGGGCTACATAGTGAATTCCAGGTCAGTCTCAACTACATAGTGAGACCATGTCTCAAAAAAAAAAAAAAAAAAAGCCCTCACTGGTAGGGCTGCCATCCTTTTTGGATTGTCATCAAAGCCTTCTAAGAGTTTCCAGAAGCTTCCACAGGTTTCTGAGGAGTCTCTGCCTGGCCCACATGAGGTTCTTTAGGTAGGTAGGTGAGGAAAGTCAGAGGCTGAAGCCTTCAGGGGTAGATCTGATGCAGGAGAGAAGTAGGGAGGGAAGCAGAAAGAATCAAGTAAGGAAGACTGAAAACTGGGGCATCTTTCTCCTCCTTCCCTCCCTTAGGCCCTCTCCACCTGTCCTACTGTTTCCTTAGGGTTCATCTTCCTTCTCCACCCTAAAGACAACTCCCAAAGGGCCCCTGTAAGTAAATGGGGTTCCATATTGAGTCCAGGGAAATACAAATGACCAAAACATAGGGAACTATAGCCAGCCTCATGTTTGGGAAATGTGCGTTAAACAGAAGTAAAAGAGCAAGTGAGAGTTCTAAACAGAAGAGGGATATAGTCAGAAATCTTTTCAAGCAAGTATAATGTGATTTGATTGGGTTTCTTAAGGTGGCATGTGATTGTCTGGGCAAAGCTCAGACATACCTGTAGGTGATTCAAATTTTCAATTTTCTAAAATGCCAGGATTTTGATACTTGATTAACACAGTGTGTAATGTGTTAATTATATCAAAAACAGTGGTACTTAGGTTCACAAACTTAATTATTTCCATGATTTTGGTCACAAACCAAATTAGATGAGAGCCAAATCAAATTCACTGGTTAGGTTCAATGTTGACTTTATGGGGAAATTTGATTCTATTCTCATCCAATTTGATTTGTGACCAGAATCACGTAAAGATTTAGGTTTGTGAACCAAGGCACCACTGTATTGGTGGTGTTTTAGGAGACAGGGTGAGGATTAGATGCTCAGGGGCTTATTATGTCCAGGATGGGACAGGGATCAGAAATGGGGTGAACGTAGGAGAGGAGTCAGGGTCAGAAGTGGCAGGTGGTCAGGAATGGGACTGGGGTTAGGGATGGGGTCTGCATCAGGGATAAGGTGGGTGACAGTAGTGGGGAAGTGAATGGATATTTTCCATAATGCTTGCTGATTTAAAAATTTTTAAATCTGGCCAGGCATAGTGGCACATACCTATAATCCCAGAACTCTGGGAGGCTGAGGCAGGTGGATCTCAGGTTTGAGCCAATCTTGGGCAAATAAGCAAGATGCTGTCTCAAAATAAAAAAGAAGATAAAGCTGGGGATGTAGCTCAGTGTGAAGGCACTGAGTTCATGCCCCAGAACCAAAGAAAAAATTGTTTTGTAGGCTTGTTAAAATGTTCCCACCACCAAGTAGTTACACCACAAGCTCCCATTTCCCTTTAAACCAGTTCCCCTTTCCACTGACCACAGCCCCTTACTCTCCTTTGCTTTCTAATCCAGTGACGCCTTCTTGCTAGTTCCAGTAAAAATGCCAACTGGTAATGCTGGTTTCAGGCTTTAGGGATATAAGATTGCCCCTTTCCCAGCAACTTGCATTTTGGCCAAAAATCTCATAGATATAAATAAAATAAAATGACCAGTTCTCTTTGTTCTCAAGATCTTCCCAGAAAGCCACCTTCCCATAGATGACCTCTGTCCTACACAGATGGTGTGGAGTCAGCCTGCTGCTGTTACCATGCTCTGGGCTTCACCTACAAAGCCACCAGGGGCTCACATCCGGTTCTCACCCTCACTGTTTTCATCCATCCTGCTATTCTGTCTTTCGATTCAACATCTTTAGGGAAGAAATGAATTTTTTTTAAAGCAGTAATTATTAACTTGGGCTTTGAAAAATTAGTCTTTCTTTTTTTTGTTTGAATCGAAGTGTCTTCCATGCATTGTTGAAAATATGAAATGGCTTTATAAAGCATATATAGTGAGAACCAGAAACCTTCTGGCCCCAGTCTCTGCAGGCAAAGACAGTGAGTTCAACTCTCAAAGATGTTTCATCCAATATGTAGGGGTCCACATATTTCTCAATATTGTGCTTCTTCTGCTAGTTCCAGATCCTCTTGTATCACCTGTGGATTTTCTATTATGATGGTCGAGGATTTCATGTTCTCTCAGTCCGTCTCCTGCTTTCATCCCAGTCCAACCAAACACAAACACAGATATCACATTCTTGGGTTCAATCAATGTTTTGTTATAATAATGACCACGTGAAAAATTATTCACAGTTGGGTACAATGTTTGCGTTTCCTTTCTTCATACCAGTCTTGTTTTTCCCTAAAACTGATGATAGAATTTTCCGTTTACTTATTTCATTGGTCTCAAATGCCCTTCTGGGGGAATTCACTTCCATTTGATAATTGTGAATGTTTAACACTTTTTTTCCCCAGTACTAAGGATTGAATCCAGGGCTTTGCTCATGCTAGGCGAGTATGCTCTACCACTGAGCTACACCCCCAGCCCTTATTCTGCTAATTTTCTTTCTTGAAGACTTCTCTCCTGTAACCCTTCATATTCTTGTTCCAACATGGGAAAGTTACTCCCAGACCTTGCTCCTCTTTTCTAAATTGCTTTAACTATATAGTATTTCCAGATGAATTTCATATTTCTTTGTCAATTTTTTATTTTTTAAATTTTTTTGGTACTGGGGATCCATCTCCAGGCCTTGTGCTTGTGAAGCACCCTTTCTTTGTCAATTTCAGCAACACCACCAACTAGGATTTGGATTTGGATTATGTTGAATCTCTAGACCAATTTGGAGAAAATGGACCATCCTAATACTGAATCTCCTCATTCATGAGCATGACTTCTTTCTTCGTTTATTTAAATCTTTCATTCTTTGTAAAGAATGTCTTATAGGGTTTTGTTTTGTTTTGTTTTGTTTTTTGGTACTGGGGGTTGAACTCAGGACCTCGGGCTTGCAAGGCTGGCGCGGTGCAGCTGAGCTAAATCTGCAGCCTGTCTTGTAGTTTTGATACACAGATTTGTACGTATGTTGTTAGATCTCTCCTTGAGCATTTTGTGGGTTTTTGGGAAGCTATCGTAAGTGGGGTCTCATCTGAGACTAAAGATAGTTCTATTTTTTTCCTTTTCCTTCTGTCACTTATATCTTCCTTTTTTATGCCATTTATTTCTTTTTCTTCTCTTTACTGGCTAAGACCTCCAATATAATGCTGAATAGAAGTGGTAGGAGCAGATGTCTTAGATTTGTTCTTGGCCATAAAGCATGCACACTTTATTAAATATGATATTAGCTATAGATTTTTCAGAGTCCTTTTATCAGGTTGAGAAAGTTCTTTTCTATTTGTAGCTTGCTGAGATTTTTTTGATATTTATTTCACAATATCGATAGGAACTCATTTTATAATTGACATTAGAAATAAACAAAATTTTCTGAGGAAAAGTGTTGACATTCTCCAGAAAGGGGTAAAGGAAGTAATACTAGTTGGAAAGTCCAATGCCTAATCTTTTAAGGAAGTACAAATTTATGTAGATGAATTTAAAGACTTTAGGATCCCAAGTCTACAGATTGTTGAGTCTATGATGTAAGACAATGAACTTAACTGTTCTATGCTTCATTTGTAACAATCTCTATATAAAGTAGTGATTATTGTACACATTTCAGATGTGGCAAGTTTGATTGACCTTTTTAAATTGCAAAGCATTCTACAGTATTAGGTGTATATGGTAGCCAAGAGCCCAATGATAGCTGTTACTTCTTTGGCAGACAACTGAGTGATATTTCCAAGCTACAATTCTTCCCAGAGCAGCATAAATTGAGTTGGGGACTC